ATTTTCAAAGCAGAGCTGCAGGTCTTTTTTTCAGAAGCACCTTACTGCCCGCTTAGGTGTTTTACTTTGCATGCTAAGAATGCTGGGGTTTAAAAATACACCTTTTATGTTTGTGGGGGTATTGCACGTCTGTAGGGGACTTAGAATGGTTCTGTCACATGGCAACAGTGGAAGTCGATTCTGACATAGGTCAAATGCTTTCTCTTTTTTCTTTTGGTTTTCATAATCGCTGCCTTTACAATGTCTTTATAATCCAGTCTTTGAACACGTTTGAGTGAACACCGAGAATAATAACTTTAGCAAATTATGTTCCAGTGTACCCAGACCTAGCAGGGTGTGCCCAGAAGTGCCAAGCACTCTGATATGACTAAGTGCATGGTCAGTCGGAGACAGACAGTGCCCGTTTGGGAACTTGTCAATGTGAAATAATGAATCTCTGTCTTGATCCTACAAAATTATGAGCATAAATGGGAAAGGAACCTCAGCCTGACTCCAGGAAGTGTCCCTCTGGGGGACCATGGGATGGACGGTGACAAAGGGCCAGTGAGTCCTCACTGCCCTTCTCATGTTCACATGGCCTCAGACTTGGCCAGTGGGAGGGCCTTGAAGTAATTGTCACCAACCCCATCGTTTCCCAAGCACTTCTTATTTTCCCTGGCACAGAAGATGTTCCGGCCTCATCTCATCTTTTCTCTGCCTTCACCCTGAAGCTGCCCTTTCACCACGAGCCCTGGCTTCTTTTCATGCGGAGAAACCGAGACTGGGTCCTGGGTGAACTGTCTTCTCCTGGACCGTCTCTGTGTCCTAGTGGTAAATGCATACTCAGATAAACCAGGAACCCTGGTGGGGCTGTAGCTGTGCGTCGGTGGGCTTATGCATAAATGGCTCAGGGGCCACACCTGACTTTCTCTGGCTACACAAGGGAGCCGGAAGTCCATCGCCACACTAGTCACAAGGCAGAGGTCAGACATCCTCCTGGCATCCTTCTGATGCCAACTGTTCCTCCCAAGGGACTCTACCTTTTTTTTTGCCAGGTTCCATCATCCATTGCAATGACCAGGCAGGAATTTTCGATTGTCCGCAGATCAGACAACTTAGAAATGACCCACGTTTCATAGCATCAACGAATGAAGTGGAGTCGGGTTCCTGGTCTTCATTTGTTCTTGTGGAAACTTTCTTGGCAACAAGAAGGGAGACAACTACACACAATTAGTAGCAGAGAAGCTCTTTCGTTTCAGCAGGTTTGGCTGTAACCTGAGTGTTAAAGTCCATTATCTGTCCCGAGAACCTTGGTGACACAAGTGAAGCGCAAAGTGAAAGATGGAACCAAGACAAGGACAGTGGAAGCCAGATGCCAAGGAAAAGGGGGGTGCACACATGGTGGCAGACTGTTGCTGGAATCATCTAGGGCAGCGGTTCTCAACCTGTGGGTCGCAACCCCTTTGGGGGTCAAACAACCCTTTCACAGGGCTCGCCTGATTCATAACAGTAGCAAAATTACAGTGATGAAGTAGCAAGGAGAATAATTTTATGGTTGGAGGTCACCACCACATGAGCGTTCCTCCTGTATTAAAGGTCGAGGCATGAGGAAGGTTGATAACCACTGGTTTAGGGATTGGCCTTGCAGAGCCCACTCTCGGAAGTCTGAGAAAAGGAGCTTCTTGCTTGTCAAGTGACTGGGGAGTTTTTATCAGAAACCTGGGCTTTCGGTATAAAATAAATAGATGTTCATCTTCATGCTTTTCTTTATATTTGTTTCAGACTGAAAAGATATTAACTTTAAAAATATATTTAAATGTTTTTTTTTTAATGAGCCAACAAAGTAAAGAGTAACACATGGCATATGTTCTGTGTCTCAAAAACTAGAGCTGACAGGGGAAAACCGGTGCCAGTTTTGGAATCAGCAGGTCACATATAACCAGGAACAAGTCTCGCATTTAAGGCACCAAGAGGTGGGCTGGCCAGTGTAACATGGGGCACCGTAAGGGATATGGGTCGGAAGGGCAATATGAAGTGGCTCTTTCTCAGCTTGGTTTCGGGTTTGGCAATCTATTAAGCTATTTAGTGTGCAATAAATATCACTATGAAAAATCTGACATGTAAGAATTGCCAAAACATGCACAGAGACATGAAGTGAGCTTGTGCCGTTGGAACAACAATGCTGGACACGAGGTTGCCACCAGCCTTCCATCTGTGAGAAATGCAGAAGCAGTGACCAGTCCAATCAATCAAAGTGCAGCGGGTTGTGCTAGCCTGTCTCTCCTTGGTGTGTTGAAAACCAGGAGTTTACAGCGGTCCCTCCAACTCCCGTCCTAACACTTCAGGGTTCATATTTATATGCTTCTTCTCTGAGGTTGAGTAACTTGTCTTTGTTCATTCTCTCAACTCGAGTGTGAGTTAGGGGAAAGATAGGTGCAGCAGTTCGAACACTCACCGATGCAGCACCCGGCGGCGTGTGAGCACTTCACATCTGAGTCATATCCAGACTGTGCTCACATTGAAACTTGGGGTCTCCCTTGAGAGCAGAATGGTTCTCTCAGGACTTCCTTTGCCTATATATATATATAAATGTAGAAATTGCAATATATATATATGTGTGTATATATGTATATATATATCTCCAAGAAAACCTTCTTGGGGGGGTGGGAGAATGAAACACAAACCCATCAAGAGTAGATTCGGACCCTGTGGACTTAGTAGAGCCGCTGCACGGGTGTCTCAGACAGACAGCCACACCCGCTCCCTCCAGGAGTCGGTGGCTTGCAATGCCGACCTTGTGCTCACCCCGTGCCTACAAGGCTCCCTTGTCTTTACATGTGAAATTGAAACCTTAGATTTCAGAAAATGGAGGGGTAGCTATTCTTTTGCTAGAATAGGCTCAGATGTTCGTGGGCTGTTTATCCGTGATGATGGTGGAAACAAACATCTGTTGTTGTAAAAACATAAATCTTTGGAGTGGACCTGGACCAATGGCTCTCACCTCTGTCTTCATAGGCCCGCCTTTCACGCACCAGAGGACGCCACAAAAGATGGTGTATTACGGGAAAACGACCTGTAAAAACAACTTTGAACATTATATTGAGATCATCAAGTATGTGTTCAGCGCTTACAAGAAAGAGTCTCCTCTCCTCATCAACACCATGGGATGGGTGACAGGTGAGCACGTGACGGCACGGAAGACCGTCTGAGAGGGACAGCAGTTTTGTTGTGGATGCCCAGCGCCTACAGCTCCCTTCTGAGCACTTCCTTTGTCTCGGGATGCGTATGGCCTTCCCTCGTGGGAGCGTGGGAGTTGCCCCACAGCCCCCTATCCATGCTGTGCCGCCTTTTCCTTGCAGACAAAGGGCTCTCACTGCTCATTGATCTCATCCGCCTGCTCTCACCCAGCCACGTCGTCCAGTTAAGCTCTAGCCGGAGTAAGTACATTCCGAACCTCACCCCCGACTATGTGGATGACACCGAGGGCTTCTACACGAAAAGGAGGACCAAGATCAGAAACCGGGGTTTCCACATCCCAGAAGCAGAGAATTTGGAGTTTGTTGAGGACGAAAGAGACAGTCCAGTTGTGTTTGCTGGGCACAAGCTGATAACCGTTCGATCAGAGTTTGCATTTCGAAAAACCCCCAGAAACAGGTAAATAAAGAAGCACCGTCCAGCTGAGGGGCTTCCATTTTCTCCCCTTTCAGCAAGACTGTCCTGCCTGGTGCCTTCAGAGGAAGGGTGCGTCCTGCTAACGTTTTCAGATCTCGATCACAACTGCGTCCTTTCTGAGCGACTCTTCTCTCGCCGGAGGGTCTCCGGCGTGCCTCTGCCTCTGGTTGCCTGGAGCTTTGGCTTCAAGGAGTCTTTTCAGGGTACTTTCCAGAAGGGCCAGGTCAAGGCGGGGACCACGCATGCAGGGTGGAACATCTGAAGGAGACAGCCCACATCTCTTTCAGGGTCATCAGCTGATGGGCTCTCTACTGACCTGACTCTGATTTCCTTTCCAGAGAATTACATAACAGGGTTTTCCGGGACTTGGCCGTCTTGAGTTACCTTGGCAAGCTGCAGGCCTCAAACCCAAAGTCACTCTCTCCTTTGCACGGTCTGACGCCCTACCAGGTAATCCAAGCCCGGCTGGGGGAAATTCTCTCCATTTGGTCACCACGAGTTGCCGTGGCTTTCTGTGTGGCAGGCCCTGTGCCACCCACTCCATTCTCAGATCAGCCCGCGGAGGAGGTCAGTTCAGTAATTATCCCCATTGTGCAGATGGTGAGGCTGAGCGGCAGAGACTGAAGTGATCCCACTGAATGGGCAGCCTGGTGCAGCTAGAAGGCTGCTTGGCTCCGGGGCTGCTCCTGCAAACTGTGTGGCCTCGGCTGCTGCTCTGTAGACTGTGCACAGTCCCTGTACCTCGGAGAATGGTGAGGTCACCTCAGCACGTGTGCAGGAGAGCACCCTAAAGTATTTGGCGTTACTAGTGTCAGAATAGGTTCTAGCACCGGAGTGTGAGGGGACTTGAAGACCCTGGGGGGAAATGCAGTGAAAGGATTATGGAATTGTTCCACCAACTTTTCGAAGGCCCCTCATATTTGCAACTTGGAATCTAAACTGTTGGGAATAGTTGCTGGACAAAATCACCGTAATGTTAGAATTTGGGATGCTGAAAGAATACCTCTGCTGCCTGCTCCTCCAAGCCTGTACCCTGGACCTGTTACCACTCCCATTTGACAGGTGATAAAACAGAGTCCAGAGATGTTGGGGTCAGCTGGCCCCAAGGACCTAAGGAGAGGGCAAGCTGGGGCTCGAGCCCACAGGGCCAGGCAGCCCCTCCAGGCTGGAGCACCCACTGGGTGCCAGGCACCCTTCTGGCACTACGTGGGCTGGCTCACTGGCTCTGCTGGGCAACCCTGATGGGAGCCCAGTACTGTCTCCAGCTGTGGCAGGAGACTGGCCCAGGCAGGCAGGGTTACTTGCCAGAGGTGGAGAGACTCTCCTAGGTCCAGTCTTCTGCATCTGCTCCGTCAGGAAGTCTTGCTTATTGGTTCTTTACCCACTTGGAGACGCTCGGTAACTAAACTTTTCCATAATTGAACTTTGTGGTCTCTGATGGCTATAAATTGATTTTTGAAGCCTAAATCTTGCATGTTACAAAATACTTTTTTATTCTAAAACTTTAGCATTACCCAGGAAGTTAAGGCGGATTTGGTGGCCCAATGGTTGAGAGTTAGGCTGATAACTGAAAGGTTGGCAGTTTGAAGTTTCCCCCTTCCCCAGCAGCTCTGTGGGAAGCAGGGCTGGCCATCAGCTTTGGGGAAGCTCCGTCAGTTGGGGTCTACCACAGGGTGACGCTCTGTGCCCAGCAGCAGCTCCCACAAGTGCTCTCCTTTTCGGCACACAACTTTGATAGTTGGCCATGGGCGATCCCTCTGGAAGTGGGGTTCTTGCAGGGACCAGACACAAGCACCCCAACCCCATCAGGACACCTCCAGGCTTCCATTAACGAGTCTGTTTAGACAAGAAATTCCACACGGTCGGCTTAGCTCGCTAGCAAACGTGGATGGTACACAGGGCAGTGCGCGCCAGCCCCTTAGGTTCCCTGCGTGTAGGCAGTGACGCGCTCACCACACGCGGACCCGTGTCATTGCCTTTTAGAGTACTCTCTTGTAGCCAGTCTGGCAGTGTGAGAGAGCCGGCAACCCTGATTTTCCAGGTCCCCTTCAACGCAGTTGCACTGCAGATCATGCACGCGGATGTTGCCCCGACCCACATCTTGTACGCAGTGAACGCCAGCTGGGTCGGCCTCTGCAAGATCCAGGACGACGTCAGAGGCTACGTGAACGGGCCCATCCTCCTCGCCCAGACTCCCCTGTGTGACTGTGTGGGGTTTGGTGAGTCCAGAGCACCAAGGGTGGCCAGAGTCCTGATCAAACCGGTTTCCATGGAGGACTCTTGATAACCAACCTCATTCTGGGGGGCAAGGGCACGGTTTTCTAACTGGGCTGGTGAGCGTATCCTTCACCCTTTGGCCAGGAAGAGAGCAGCTTTTTGTCCGGACTCCACTGCCAGCTCCTCTGTGTACAGGCCTCCTGAGGCCAGCTTAGGGCCTGCTTTTCACCAGCGCTTTCATTCCAGGCTGCCCGCCCTCCCTGCCCCTGGGCTCACAGGCCTTTGGGCTAATGTCCTCTGCCCCCAAGTTCCACGTGGTGCCCAAGTCCTGGCCCGATCGTGCTTCTGAGACTGAGTGTCCTTGCCCTCCCCACGCCATTCCTCTGCTGCCCTCCTGTTCACTTCCCTTTGGACACAGGGTCATCATCAGCACCTCCAACCCATTGGCCGTCCTGTTTCTGATCTCAAGCTCCAGCAGCTTTGCCCATTGGAAAGCTCCTTCCTGACCCCATGCCCTCTCTTGAGTTCCTCTTCCTGGTCATGTGGGCTGCCCTCTTGTCACTCCCCTTACACATCAAGTCCCAGGTCAATGCTGCAGCCCCGGGTCCCTGCCTCCATCACCATTAAATTACACTGTTCTGAGGGTGCCGGACTCTCCCTCTCAAAGACCCATAAGTGATGGCATTTAGTCCAGAATCAAAAAGCAAGGCCCCCATCCGCTTTGTGTTCCTCAGTGCTTGGTTGCCAGCCTGCCTCGGGCTCGCCTCCGTTAAAACGTAATCCCAGACTTTTTGCATTTGGGCCATTTTAATTCCTCACAGCTGAACGGAGGCCAGGGACCTGTATCCCATCGTTGGACACGTTGCGTTTTCTTTTCATTTTATTGGGGGCTCGTACAGCTCTCATCACAATCCATACAACCATCCGTTGTGACATGTTGCATTTTCAAAGCAAAAAGTTAAAATTGACCCTAGCACTCTAAGCGCCACTGAGGTGGCTGGGCTTGCGTGGGCACCGTTCTGAGGGTGACTTGTTTTGTGAATGTGTCTCCAGGGATCTGCCGAGGGATTGACGTGGAGAAGAGGCTGTACCACATCCTTACCCCTGTGCCCCCCGAGGAGCTAAGAAGTGTGAACTGCCTGCTGATCGGGGCGATTTCCGTCCCTCAGTGCGTCTTCAAGAACCAGGTGAGCCTGCCCAGCAAGTCTGGCCCTGCCCATGGCAGGGAAAGTGGGACGCAGAAGTTGTGGCGAGAGTCACGTGAACAGGTTACTGTTGGGGAAACACACACTTTGTTGCTGGGCCTGAGTGTGGCATGCCCGAGTGTCGGGGCCAGAAATCACCAGGTCTCGGGGGGGCGTGGGAGAGCAGAGGTTACCTTCTCGTGCCGACCCCAGGGCCCTCATGTCTGGGGACTTGCGTCAGACCAAGAAGAGGCACAGTCACATTGGCAGTTCCTTCAGGCAGCTCTTGGAGGGGAGACCAGGGGCCTTAGAAGGAGAGCCCCGCACCACTCACTCCTCCCTGATGAAAAGCAGGCAAGCCGGGTGGACTCCGCCGGCCTGGGTTTGGAGTGTTTCCAGCCACGCTCTCCGTTTCTGTTTCAACAGGGCTTTGAGGGACCCCTGCCTTACGTCACTACAGATTATAATTTTAACCTTCCTGGAGCACGAGAAAAAATTGGAGCAAGAGACCCCGAGGAAACCTACGAGGAGAAAAGATACTGGAGACCCAAGCTGTCTCAGAAAGTACACCGCTACTGATGGCCTTGAAACCAGGGAGTCTGTCTCCCAGACGGGTAGCCTACGTGTCCCTCGGACGCCACCTCAACAGCGCTTCGTGGCGACCAAGGCACACCCACCTAGCAGACAGTATTTGTATATAACTCATGACGTGGCTCAGAAATGTCTTGACGCGACACGGTCGTCTCCGTGCACTCTTGTCCTTTGGTGGCAGGGGAGAAGGTGCCGTTGGACCGAGTGTGGCTGGTCCCCAAAGCTCGTCAGGTCTGCTGACTGGAACCAAGATACGAGCGTGGGAATCGGGCCGTACAACTGGAGCATGGGAGATCGAATAGTGGGGCCGCCTCAGGAATCGGGGCTTGGAGATCCACCTCCCTTCTCACTGGGGTGCTGTGCAGAATGAGGGAGTGGACACCCTGACGGAGTTTGCTTGGCTTCTGGCTGGTTGATTCTAAATAAGGTCATCTCCCACTGATGAGTGATAAAAGATGATGTTTGGGCTGTTTAATTTAATCAGGGCTTAACAGATTGAAAAATAAAGTCTGAACTCAAGAGACCTTTGGTGTAATACCGAAGAAATGACTCTCGAATCCAGAAAGCATTTCCTTGGCAGGAGTGGGGTAGTGCTGTTTGGAAGGACTGGCAGGCCCACTGGGCAGTGCCAGTCAGAGTGGCCTCCGAGGGGCCGGGGACCAGGGCAGTTGTCCCTCTCCCACAGCAAAAACCAAGGGAAACCTTCCTTCGCATGTTCAAGGGGCGATCCTGATCTTTACCTTCTAAGGTTGGGGGTAAATATTGTAAACCAGGACAAGCAGACCTGATTGGTTGTGCATTTAAAGGCAGGTGTGAGATCCTGAGGCAGCTTGTCAAACTGGTGTTGGGACCATGTCGGACCAGAGGAGCAGAACGAATAACTTACTGGCCAGATTATGTGAAGGAGAGTGAGCTGTCGAGTTACCATGCTTATGTGTATTCAGCTGGGTTATCGGCGTCTGCAGTACCCTGTGGTGGCCCTTCAGCATCTCTAACCCTCGGGAGAGGATAGGAATCCTCTGGCCCTCCTCGGTACTATCGGGACCACTTTAACGCTGAGCTGAGCTTTTTCAGTTGTCTCTTGTTTACATCCTTATTGAGCTTGTATTGTATTTTTCTGTCTCGGTCTCGCAAAGAATTTTAGAAAATAAACCACCACCATCAACTTATTCCCACCCTCTCCAGTTCCCTGTATCACTAAGGTAGTACTTACTATAGGTCGGTAGCAGCAGGTCTAATGGAAGTTGTGGCCTATAATTTGCATTTTAATTAAACCCAGCTTCTCCAGTAGCCTAACTTCCAGAATGCCAGTAGGCTGCAAATCGAAATGTCAGCAGTCAAACCCACCAGCTACCCTGCAGGAGAAGAGTTCACAGTTAGCTGTCCTGCAGGGTAGGTAGGTCTGCAGTCCGAATTTGACTTGGTTTGGGTCCTCAGTCTCCATCCGTGAAGAAGAAGGCGGTGCCACTAGAGGGAGCTGTTGGTTCCCCATCAGGTGGTTGAACTGGTGATTGAGTGGACCTGCATCACACTTTTCCAAGAGCTTCGGGGACTGTTGACTTGCTCAGAAGTCGGCTCCACAGGAGGACTCCCAACGTCAGTCTCCTCCTTGGATTTTGGCTAATGGTCACACCCTGGGTTGATTCTAAATAAGGTCAACTCCCCATGATGGGTTGAGTGATAAAAGATGATGTTTGCTCTGTTAAAATTAATCAGGGCTTAATAGATTTTTTTTTTTATGTCAAATCAAGAGCCCTTAGTCTGTTGCTCCCCTTGTGTAATGCCAAAGAAATGACTCTCGAATCCAGAAAGCATCTCCTGGGGGTCTTGCTAGAGATGCGAGACAACCAGAGGTTAGCCACGCTGTTTGGAAGGACTGGCGGGCCCACTGGGTAGTACGCGTTCCAGGAAAGGTCTCATCAGACCCTAGTAGGACCACTCTCCCTGGATGTCTGTCTCATTGTTAATGTCCAGAACTTGGGCTTCAAAGAAAGGATGGGTCTGGTCCTTTATTCATTTCTGGAGCCTGTTTCGATCCAGGATGTGTAATAAAGAGTCCTACATTGGGTTGTTTACCAGCCCTTCCCTCTTTTGTGTGTGATTTCCAAAGTAGTAGCTCGTTGCCATCAAGTCAGTCTGACTCACATCCATCCTATGAAGATTGAATAGAGTTGGATATTAAAGGGTCTTCAGGGCTTTGGCCGTTACATCATCCCCTGTCAACTTCAGTGAAGGAGTGGAGTCTAGCCTGTCAAATCAGGCCATAGCCAATGAGGCCTCTGTGTGGGCATGGCCTTCTGAGGATTCTGGGAGCTCCTGTCTTCCTCCCTGGAGGTGGGATACACTCTGATTCACATTCCTGATGACAAGCCAGATGGAGCTATGCTGATGGAGCCAGAGCCCTTGGAGCTGGAGGAGCCACGTGGAGACCCACGCCAGTGCTTCCACCACCACTGTATCCACAAGACTTTCCACCCACTGGCCTGAGATCTTCCTGCATTTGGCATCAATGCAAGGCTGTGTGAATCCAAAGAGGAATTTACGGACTAGTACTGACATAGGGGCTAATATGGGACCTATGCACTTGATCTGGGCTGGGATGTTTTCTCAATATACAATTGCTCTTTTATATAAAGCGGTTTCTTATACACACGAGTGTCCATGAATTTGTTTCTCTAGTCCACCCAGACAAACAAGGGCTGTGGCCGTAGTGAACCAGACCACCAGGCTTTTCTCCTGAGGCACTGCTGGGTCAGTTCCCTCATGGTGACATTGACGGGGCTAAGGGGATTGGGACACAGACTGAAGAACGTGGAGGAAATGCCTGCCAGCGTCTGCGTGTCTCTGCGGGATGTCATGTCTTTCCTGGGTGATCTGTGAATGTGTCTTTGGAGGGAGGAGGATTTTGTTGCATGAAGAGCTCACATTATTTTAAAAGCCGGAAGCCTGGGTTCTGCTCACGGCTGGCCTGGCGGGGAGTACACACGGGCTGCAGCTGACAAGCTGAGCCTGAACGGTGGCTAAAATAAATATGGGGGCCATCTGTGCAGTAAGGGGGGATGCTCACGTGACTCTGCAGAAAGACCTCCAAAGTTAAGGAGGCCGTGCCAGGAAAAAGCGGGGTGGGGGGTGGGGTGGGGGAGCAAGTCCGATCTGGAAACCACTGCCACAAGCTGAGTAAGCAAGACCCGGGCATCAGCAAATACAGCTGAGCTAGGCAGACAATGTGTTGGGCCTAGAAGCCATGGGTTGCTGTGGCGACCGGCCCTGCTGCTGCTTGGCACTCAGCTGCCTTCTCTAAGGCTTAGGAACTTGCTTTGGTCCCTGGGCTGTGAACCTCCGCCAGTCAGGCGGAGGCCCCCAAACTTTCGAGGCCTTCCTCCTAGCTGGGGGTGGGGTCCAGCGGAGGGGCTGCTGCCGGCCTGCAGGTCTTGGGCATTGTTTCCTGGGAAAGGAGGGAGGCACCCTGCGAGGCAGCCAACAGGACAAGAAGTCTATTCCCGGAATTAAATGGGTCCTCAGGAATGGAGAACCCATGAGGGGAAAACTACCCGAACCCCCAGACTGTCCAAACTGAATGCTGAAAGCAACTGCCCCAGGGGCCCGTGTCCGGTGGCTGGGAGCACAGTTTTCTGTGCAGTCAGAGGCAGCTGGAGGAATTAGGAGGGAGGCCAAGTCTGGGAGAAACCATTGGTGCTGGACAGAGAGGGACGGACATGCCATGTGCCTGATCAAGAGGCTCAGCATGTGACTACGGGCCAGACCAGCTGCATCGGCACGAATTCAGTCCTGACAACGGACGGGTCCCCCTTCAGCTGGCTTGGCCTGCGCCTGTGCACCAGTGAGTGCTTGCTTCCTCTCTCGTCTAGGAAGGAGGGCTGAGACACAAAGAAGAGGGGGCTATGGGGGTCTTAGAGGGACTACCAAGATCCCAAACCCCGAGCTGGCTGATCATTCACCTAGGCCCTTTGAGAAATCCTAGAAGTTCTCGGCTATTAATGATAAAGGTGAGTGGCTCAACCCTACCCGGAGGCTCCTTGGAAGAAAAACTGGGCAATCTACTATTGAAAACTCAGCCACAGGGAACCATAGGCAACCCAGTTCTGCCCTGATGCACACGGGGTCGCTGTGAGTCAACTGGAGGACCCCTGCTCTGGTGGCTGTAAAGCTGCATGCGTGCCTGCTGCCCTGCCACGTCCTGTTGATCCGTGGTTAGTGAACCAAGAGCCACCCACCCATCAGGCTTCAGCCGTCAGCTCAGGTTTGCAAAGAGAATGCTCTTGCTAAGAAGGCAGCAGGGAGAGGCCTGTGTCAGCGCTCCCAGACCCTGAAAGACCCTTTCTACAGCTAGCCTTCGAACAGAGTTGGTTTGCTGTCTCCCGCAAGGGGAGCCGGGATGGCTGATGGTGTGGGTTCTCCAGTTTTTTGAGATTTGGAAGGTGGGGAGAAGGTGCCCAAGAGCCTCCAAGCTGTCACATTGTGTCTCCGTTGCTGGGATAGGCTGGGAAAGGGCCCCACCCTTGCCTGTGCAGCTCTCTCGGGGCCACGAAATGCCCCTTAAGCCATCACTATTTTTAAGTCCACTTCTAACATGTGCCATGACACACTGGGTGTCGTGTTCATGGGATCAAGTAACATTCCAACATCCCAGACTCGCAGCCCTGGCCTGAGGATCACCCCACTCCTGGCCAGAAAGGAACGGCCTAGGCTGCACCGTATTTAAATAGAGTCCATTCCAACCCCACCCCTGGCCAGCCCTCGGCGCATTCATGAAGAGGTGCCATCCGGCACCCACATGCCCTCAGTGCAGGCAAGCCCCTGCCCAGAAAATGGTTCAGGCTTCAGGTTCCCTTCTGGCTTGCCCAACTAGCTTGCTCACCGAGGGGCGGGGGTGGCCAAGCAACAGAAATGAATTCAAGTGACCCACGCTGGCTGGAAGGGTGTGAGCATTAAGCATGTTAATAGATCTTTCCAGATTGCCACTCAGGAATGGCGTGAGTGCGAGGTCTGTGCCCATCAGTGTCTGGTCATCAACTTCATAAGCCTGCCCTTGACCTGTGAGGGTGGCCCCTTACTTGGTCTTCAGGCATTTCTCTGCCTACTCCTACGACGGAACTGGCCAGAAGGAAATGGCAGCTGCATCAGCATCTGGCAGCACCCTTCTGGGACCTGAGGGTGGCGGGCTTCAAGGACACACCAGGCATCATTCTGTTAGCGTTCCTGTGAAGTTTTCCCTCTTGAAGCCTTGTCGTACATGTATCGCTCACAGAGTCAACAGGCCGGTGTTGACTCACGGCTTGTCCTTGTTCCTGGCTGGCTGCTTTTGGAGCTTCTGTGCCATTGTCTTCAGGGTGGAGGGAATCGTAGCCACTGCTCCCTCAGGGTCGTGATGAAGATGGGAGGTGGTCATGTTTTAGTCCCTGCTGAACCATTCTGGTTTCAAGGTTTCGTGCTTCGATTTCTGTTGCTAGTGTTTTTTTGGTGGTTGTTGGTTTTTCAGTCATGGGGTCTTATTTACTTGTGTGCTTCGTTGTCTTTGATTGTGTGTTGGACTTTGTGTTTCAAAAACAGTGGGAAAAATCTGAAGTCTACTATGACAGAAGATTTCCACCTGCTTCTGCTGCAAACCTGGTGACGCTACCACCTGGGGACAATCTCAGTCCAAACCCAACGCTTGAAGGTGCCTATATTATCAATAAAAATATAACTGAGTTCCTAAATTTTTCTTTTGAGAGAACGTAAATCCTGTAGGGCAAAAACAGCAGGGCTTCGCCCCTCCTTCACATTTGATGTTTCAAAGATCTTCAAGAAATAGATATCCAGAGCATTTGGTTGTCCTACAGGACAGGGTCGGCGGAGAAAGCAGCTCTCGCTCAATGAATCATCCAAATGTTGAATGCTTCTCTATAGCGACTGCCATCCCATAACAGTGATTCCTCAGTTGTCGAATGGCTCCGAGCTTGAACTTTACCCAATTCAAACAGCAAAGTTGGTAAAACGTCGGCTCGGTGTCCGTAGCTGTGCTCGACAGTCCGACTGGGAGTCTGATTTGGATCGCATTGCTGGACATCTGAGGTATCACCGTGTACCCAAACTTGGTACATGAAACGCGAGCTTGCCGGACTCACATTAAGCCTAAGCAGAAGCTCTCTGTGGGCAACTTGGAGGCC